CAGAACTCCCGACCCATCCAACCCCCTCTGCTCCCTGCCTGCCTCGACCCCCTCCACACCCTTGCCCCCCTGACAGCTCCCCCAGAACCCCCGACCCGTCTGACCCCCGCCTGCTCCCTGTCCCTGACTGTCCCAACCCCTCTCCACACCCCTGCCCCCTGACAGCCCCCCCCGAACCCCCCCCCCCCCCCCCCCCCCCCCCCCCCCCCCCCGGTCCCCTGACCAGGGTCGACTTTAACAAAAGCCCAGGAATCGGGCTGTGCTCCGGCCGGAGTCGCGGGGCTAGGGGCCGGGCCGGAGGTGCTCGGCTGGGGCCGGGCCGGCCGCCCTAGGGCCCGAGCCGGACTGGAGCCACTGGGGCCGGCGAGCTCGGCCAGAACTGGAGCCGCTGGGGGCCGGGGGTGCTCGGCCGGCGCTGCTCGGCCGGAACTGGGGCCGGTGCCCCAGGGCCCGAGCTGGGCCGGGGCCGGAGGTGCTCGGCCGGGGCCGGGCCGGCCGCCCTGAGGCCCGAGCCGGGCCAGAGCCACTGGGGTTGGGGCTGGTGCGCTCGGCCGGAACCGGAGCTGCTGGGGCCGGGGCCGGGCCGGTGCGCTCGGCCGGAACTGGGGCCGGTGCCCCAGGGCCCGAGCCGGGCCGGAGCCGCTGGGGCTGGCTGGGGCCGGACTGGGCCGCGCCTCCCCGGAGCCCTCCTCCTCGCGTTCCCCCCGCCCCAGCTTACCTGCTGCTGCCCGCCTGCCCCTGCTTCTTTTCAGACTTCCCGCGAAGATCTGATTCGCGGGAAGCAGGGGAGGAGCAGGGGGGCGGAGCGTTCAGGGGAGGGGTGGAGGGGGAAGACAGCTGCGGGGCCGGGGGCGTGCTAAGGCTGCAGGGGATGGGGGGAGCCGAGAAGGGGCTTTGGCTGCCGAGCGGCGCCGCTTTTCGATCTATAAACAGCTGACCGGGGGAAATCCCGGACATTTTTAGAAATCCCCCCCTGGACGGCTATTTATAGATCGAAAAGCCGGACATGTCCGGGGAAATCCGGACATATGGTAGCCCTAACAGTGACCTAGTAGTACCAGTTGGGTTCTGCTTGAACTACCCATGTTGCTTCATCACACCATACAAAACAAAACAACCCTTCTGCTGTATGTAGTTCTTAGTGCTGCTAGTATGCTGTCCCCAAGGATTCTAAACCTGTACATAAGCAGGTAGCTGTTCTTGGGGCCTGGCTGATTACTTGTGTCCCCTTGTTGAAACCAAGAGAGAGAACTGCTGCATTTGTTAACAACTGCATTAGAAGAAAGAAAAGAACTGGGTGATACTCTGTGTCTCACCTTCTGTTCCTTGCTGTTCTCCATTTAGATATTTCTTTAGAGAGAGATCCAGGGAGAGAGAGAAGTGAGAGAACTAGGAGACTAATTTGAGGAACTTTGAACAGTCGGGTATATTGAATGCTGTGGGTTGATCTTTCTTGTCTGGTATCATGCTGCTTTCATGTCTTAATGTACTCTGTAACTGCTGTGAATATGTCTGAGAGTGGAACTGTAAGTTCACGATCCCCATAGTTATACTTCGCACTTCTGTAAAGTATTTTGGGATCTCAGAGTTTTACAAATATTAAGTTAAGCTCACAATACATGAGGGAGGGAGGAAAATACAGTTTCCCCTATTTACAAATGGGGAAACTGAGGTCCAAAGATCTTATGGAACTTACTCAAAGCCACACAGTAATTAAATGGCAGAGCAGAGAAGAGAACACACATCTCTTGGCTCCTTGTTCTGTGCTTTCTTCACTAAGTGTTTGTTCCTAAATTTTAAAATGTAGGACATTTTTCACTGGTAAGATTTCTCCCCGCCCACGGTTTTCTTGGATTCTCCATGTGCCTAATGCTCCGCTGTCAATGGAACTGAAGTCAATGGAGTTGCACTCATTTTATTTTTAACTTTTCTGGTTTTGTTGTGACGTGAAGTGGATTTCAAAGCATTTGCCTCTTGTCTCTTTCCCTCTACCTTTCTCACAAGAGCAGGATTAAGAAAATAGCAGTAGAGAAGAAAGTATATTGGATGGATGGGGTTTTATAGCTCCTTGTTTATTATACATTGTCCCTCTTGCATTGTAGAGTGGACCCACTTCACGCTCATTGAAGCTGTGTTGGATGGATAATTACTGAAGCCACAATTCTTCTAAACATATACAGTATATCTTTCCTTCTTCACCCCATGACTTTTGTATAATCTTTTTTTCCTGCTGGACTGCAGCATTGAAGGAGCTTCTTTTCACTCGTCCTTCTCTTGTACCAAGACTTGCATTACATTATTAGAGGACTTCCCATGTTGTTCTCTTGCTCTTTGAGCAAGTCCTGATAGGCCTTAAGAGAAGCATTAAGGACCCTAAGTATACTTTTATTTATTTATTTATTTATATAATTACCTTAGCACCTAGGAGCCCCCAGTCATGGACCAGGATCCCATTCTGCTAGGTGCTGTACAAACGCACAACAAAACGACAGTCCCCCTTCCAAAGAGATTAACATTAAATGATTACATCTTTGTGGTAGTAAGAAATTTTGAAACAAAACATCATTTCATACTGAAAAATCCAAATGTTTCATTTTATTTGATGTGAAATGTTTTATTAGTTTTTTCGGATTTTATTAGTTTTCTTTCCCCAACTGAAACAATTAGATGAAATTGACACAAATTTGCATTTCCCCGCGAAATAAATTGTATGTGAAAAATTTTCACCAGCTCTGTTCTTGGGAGTAAAATAAGACCTGTTGAACCTGTCTAAAACTGGACAGCTTGCATGAAGAGTACATGTGCACAGTGAGTGTGAGTGAGCTGCTGACCTAGTAAATGCTGATCAGAGGAGATAGTGTAAGAGGAGAGATTGGATATATAGTTGAGACGAAGGCCTTTTCTACAACTCCAGTAGCTAAACTTCCAAATTTAGAAAACATCTGAGGGATTCCTGGAGTTTGTAAGTGTACCTGGATTAGAGGCTTAATGTCTTCGTGTTCATTTTACATGCATATTAATCTTTCTGTTTTATACAAGTCAATTCACGTTGAAGATCCAGGGAAGACACACTTTTATAGCAATCACACAAAAAGATCATAAGTAAATATGCAAAAAAAGAGAGAGATTCACATGGTTTTATCAGTAGTATCCAGTGCTGCACTGATTTCTTATTCTCTTAGGCCACTACCGGCTAAATCGGCTCCGCTGCGATTGATTCAGTGGTGTCAATTTAGCAGGGTTGGTGAAGACACGCTAAGTTGATGGGAGAGCGCTCTCCCATTGACATCTGTACTCCACCTCCCTGAGCGCTCTCCCTTCAACATAGCGCGGTGTAGGCACCGCTGTAAGTTGACCTAAGTTACGTCGACTTCAGTAACTTACGTAACTGAACTAGTGTAACTTAGATCAACTTACAGCGTTAGTGTAGACCAGCCCTTAGAAATGTCAAAAGCATTTATCCTTGAGTCACCCAATATTGATTATAAAATACCATGGCAACTGACGTACTTCAGTCTGTCAAATCAGTCAACAGTTACCACTTCGTAAGTGCTGATATTCATATAATGAGGATCTTTATCTTTAGAAAAAAGTCTCTTTTTTATTTGCAGCCTCTAACTTTTGCACAGGCCTGAACGTATTCTATACAGAATGTATTTATTAGGATACAGCCCAGAAATCATCAATGTCACACAATACTTTTTATTAGTGTAAGTGAAGAAAAATAAACTGACATTTTTATGAAAGAACTGAGGTAGGTCAACTGCATTAAAATATATTTATTTAAAAGAAATTCAAATAGTCATCTGCTGTTTATTCTATACCTCAGACAAGGGAAACTTTCTCCTAAAGCGTGGGATGGGAAAATTTAAAAGCTAAGCCTTCTAGTGAAGGTAAAATTGCCTTTCAAATTTTGTCTGTATGGGACTACCCCCTGGCTTATTTTTTTTTTTAATAAAGACCAGCATTCCAAACTGGAAAAAAGAGAATCAGCAATGATATGATTTTTCTCATTCATTTGTCCTAAGGAGCATTTCTAGTACTGTCAATGAGTATTTTTGTAGAGTAAACATCATGCTGACTGCATGGAATGGAAGTCTAGGGGCATTTGGACAATAATTATGAAGACACACCTGATTTGTGTGTGTGCATTTGAGGAGATTTAATATTCCAGGTTATAAGTAAACAAATTACTCATGAAGTGAAGAAATGGTTTGACATTTTTTTCATATGGCATATGGTATGGTTCCTGCATTGCAAGGCATCTGAACAAGACATTTCCTTATTTATGACAGAGGGAGCTGTATTTTAATTGGTTTCTATCACTCTACCTCCATCATCCCCACATGCAAAATGCTGTTACTATTCTTTGTTTTGGTAAATGGTTCTTTAACCAAAAGAGGGTGGGTAGGATGTTTCAGCAGTTAAATTACAGAAAGTTTTCTCTTTCCCTCTCAGTTCCGCAACAAAGTCCAAATATAGCTGTTTGTTTAGCAAGCAATATTCCAAAACTGAATCTTCCCATTTACCTGGCTGCATTTAAATCAACACCCTAAATTTAGATTAGTGCGCAAGTATGCCATTAAAAAATATATATCTACAGAAGATGACCCTACTGATGCACTGATATTTAAAAAAAAAAGAGAGAGAGCAAGCAGCAGCAGCAGTAGTAGTATTCTTACTTGAATATCCCATTGTATCAATTTACATCAAAAGACAAAAGTATTTGGAAGGAATAATATGCTCTATGGTCCTCTGAAAAATTCTGAATATTGGTCTCTTTTGTAAATTGATCCTAGGCACATTTATTAGGGATTGCAAACATTCAAAAAGTTTTTAATAGTGCTCATTTATAACAGTGCAGTACTGCTTCATCTTCAGTGCTGTCCCATGGCGTGTGTTCAGGGGCACAGTGTAGCTGGGTTGTTTGTTCAGGAAGCCTCATTTTATTTAAATTTTCATCTAAACGTTTCACTCTGTTCTTTCATCTCCATATCCAGGGGAGAGAAATAGGAGGAGAAGATGTCAGGTGGCTTTCAGTTACATGCCTCAGAATGAAGATGAGCTGGAGTTAAAAGTTGGTGACATCATTGAAGTGATGGGAGAAGTAAGTAACTCTTATGTACTGTGTAGACACACAGTCTTCATTTGCTTTGTACATGCTGACCTTTCAGAGGGTAATATGTTTTAAAACGATTCAAAAGAGAGTTTTTTACTGTTCTTTTGTTTATGTTATATCAGTTTAGATTTTTTCCCCCCTTATTCATAGATTCATAGATTCTGGGACTGGAAGGGACCTCGAGAGGTCATCGAGTCCAGTCCCCTGCCCGCATGGCAGGACCAAATACTGTCTAGACCATCCCTGATAGACATTTATCTAACCTACTCTTAAATATCTCCAGAGATGGAGATTCCACAACCTTCCTAGGCAATTTATTCCAGTGTTTAACCACCCTGACAGTTAGGAATTTTTTCCTAATGTCCAACCTAGACCTCCCTTGCTGCAGTTTAAGCCCATTGCTTCTCGTTCTATCCTTAGAGGCTAAGGTGAACAAGTTTTCTCCCTCCTCCTTATGACACCCTTTTAGATACCTGAAAACTGCTATCATGTCCCCTCTCAGTCTTCTCTTTTCCAAACTAAACAAACCCAATTCCTTCAGCCTTCCTTCATAGGTCATGTTCTCAAGACCTTTAATCATTCTTGTTGCTCTTCTCTGGACCCT